CAGCTCATTGTTGGCAATGTGTTATGGGCCTTCATGCAGAAATTTTTCTTGGGACGTCAGGATTGCATAGGATGTTCCTGTCCCTTCACTCGTGTTCCTCAGCAAAAGAGTAGGCGGTTGTTAGACCTAAGCGAAAGACTTCACGCGAGAACTAATTTCCGATACAATACCCGGAGAACAGTGACATTGCATACACCATCCTCAGATCAACCGAGGACAGAAACCGGCCACACCAGGATCATTTAAACTGCAGAGGTTGCATTCAAAACCGCCGCACGATTTGGAACCCAAGCACCGACTCCGACAATGCACTTGTATGTGCCCATTTCTGGGTGCATTTCCATGAAGGTCTCAGACGACGTTGTGAGCGTAAACTCCCAGAAATTAGCGAAGCCAAAAGTTTTGAAAGCGTATCATTCGGGTTGAGTCTGCGCTTAGTGAACACGGTTGAAGGTCACCAGTTTCCCAGATCTTATCATTAGCAGGTATATCTTTATGTGATAAAGCTGCACATTCAGTCTCAACGCAACCTCTGAAACTTCTGGATGCTCACTGACACAGTACGACTAAGGAGGAACACAAGGAGAGTCGCAAAGACCTCAGGGCAAAACTGCTGCTCAGAAGAGAAACCGCGTACTCTAGCGTTCTCCTCGTGGAAATGGCCGCTGTTCTTGGAAAGCATCATATGTCATTCCGTTTGATACGGGAAGCGGATAGCAAGAGTCCTGCCGTTAAGGAGACTACATGCAACGAGAGGGGGCAGTCTATACACAATATGTCAAAACACTTGCGGCGTTAGACTGAGCAGTTTGTACTCGATCGAAACTACCAGATCCGCTGCTTCGCATTGACCGTCCTGTTCCATGAGCCACTCGTCTAGTTTCACACTCTCGCCCAGAAGTCGAGCGTGATACAGGACCTTTGAAAATGAATAAAAACGCAGAACCAGATGAATTGCCTCTAGCATTCTTTAAGTTCGGGGAATCCGCTTTTGTGAATGATTTAGACGATGTATCGACCCAGTTTCTACTGACGTCCTATGTTAAGGAACTTAAAATGTGACTAAAGCACTGAATTAATCAAGATAAACATTGATTGACCAAAAGGATTTCAAGATAATAAGGACTACTGTGCTTTATAAAAGTTAGGTAAAAAATAAATATTACTTTAATTCATATTTAAATGGGTCCTTTAAAAGACGCCAGCAGAAAAGAACTAATGAAGGTGTGGGAGCAGCAACTATCACAACTGACGAAGACAGCTCGGGTTGTGGTCCTTATCCTCAAAGGGGAAAGTATAGGGGAATGCGCATCACTGATGGGTGCAAAAGAGTGAAACGACCGTTTGGTGCATTTCCGAATAGGCAGCTGGTCTTGGGGGGCTTGTAACCAAATTGCAACGGACCAAACAAAGCACATCTAAACTAGCTACTAGTGAGTAATCATGAGGGAATCTATCTGATTTCGATCGTCACTAGGTTGCCTGCCTCTTAAATTTCACAGATCGACTTGGTTACTGCGTAAGACAGATTCGTGGAGAGTAGGCAGGGTTTCTTTGAAATCGAGACAGCACTGAGCACATTTTTAATCAACGCCAATTTGTGCAGCCACGCCACTTATATGGGAACCTCACCGTAGTCACGTTCCTCGACATCATAGGTGCCTTTCACTCGGTGGATCGACGTCCGCCCCAGAAATATGTAAATACTAGAGCGTATGACGCGCCTAATTCGAGCAGGCTGATGGCCTATGGTTAACTGTGGCCACTTTTTAATATCTCCAGCAGCGTAAGATAGGGATATCCGCTGTCACCATTCCTCTCAAAATTTTCCGTTGACGAAGTCATGGGAACTGCACTTACTGGGTATGATTTAGGTGTAGAGATGCCCCCAAGTGATAGGCTTCTTGACCAGGAGTAGCCCACGACATTGTTATCATTTGTGATAGCTTGTAAACCTGCTAAGCAGCGCTAGAAAGATTAGTGTTGATCGTCAGCCGTCTTGGGCTGTGTTTCGCCCCCTTCAAATGTAAAGCCCTCCTCTAAGAGAGGCAGTGGCTGCCCCGTGTGCTGACTTTGGTGGGGATCGTTGAGAAAGTCGATTGCCTGGAAAGCTGCCTCAGTGCCAGTGGAATAGAAGAGATCACGATCCGTACAACAAAAGCCCGAGGTGGTTTACCTAACCTTTGTCTTGTGGTGCCAGTGCGACATCGCTCTCACGCTGAGGTGTACAGTCAGCAATGGCTAGCGGCACCCGGTTTCGGATTTGCCTGTCACTGTGGCAAGCCACAGGACGCCTGCACTTACAGAGGGACCATGGATGGCTTGCGCTGCACCATCCACAGCCAACCACACACCCCATATCCAGTGTAAACCCGAAGGAATATGACCGGGAAGGCAAGCGGATGGAAGCCAAGTTTCATCAACGGAGCCAACCAACGCTCCTTCACAGGCAAACACAAGCACGCTGTATTTTGGAAATCAAATGCACACAAGGCGGTGGCTGGACCGTAGTCCGCTCCACACTGTGCATGGAACCACTCTTGAAGCCTAGCACGGCCACAAGGACCGTGCACCCCGTCCCCTCCAGCAATGACCAACTGTCTCCTGGAGCCAGATGAACGAGGTAGTGGGTAATAGACTGGTAGGCACCTTGTCAACATGCACGTCAAGCGCAGCCACACCGGGGATGTCAAACAACAGCCAATCACACAAAATGCCGATATTGAAGAAAGTAAACGCATATGACGACATAACTGCTCGCTAAATGAGCATATAGAAGAAATTGGTTATGTGAATCAGCGATAAGTACAAAATGTCTGAAAGTTATTTAAAATAGCACGGGATAAAATTACGCAAGTTTGCCGCAATTAGCATGAGCGACGTGTGAAAGTCAGGAGATTATCAGGTACGCAGAACAAACAAAATAAAGTGTAATGAATTTTATCCGCAGTAAAAAGACTATCCATACAATCCTACTGCGGGTTGACGGCGCACATCCTACCCCAGGCAAACAACCAGATGCAGATTTAATCTGAATTACACAGCGGAGCGTCAGGACCAAGACGTTGAGCGTATGTCACATTTTCTCTACTTACCTTCCGGTGACCAAAAGGATAAGGCGCATGCCTTGCAATCCGGATGTCACCGGTACGAGTCTGCGTAGGAGACCGGGCGAATCTCACAGTATACCAAGCCCACGCGCGAATAGAGGTGGTCGTTTCATGACAGCGAAGCATCGTTAAGGCGTACTGTTGTTGTTTTGTCATCTTGACTTACTCTTTACGTATGTCGCTTTCTCCCCTCGTAAATGAGTATGCCACGGTCAATGCAGAATTAGTCTAGATTTGGTATCATATTAATTTACACTTGTTCCAATTTGCTGTAAAAATTGTTCTCCTCATCTCCATCTTCGATTAGCTTACAATCATCTATTTTTCTCTATGTTCATCTTACCTTGGAATTCTATGCTTCGTAGTTTTTAATTGCCATCACACCTATCCAGATGAATGACCCATGCACAAATAATTCCGCGTACTAGTCCCTAGAATTCTGATTTAAACACATAATTTTTTGTAAATTGTATTATATGCGTCCGCTGTGTTGTTGTGGATGATAGTGCGAACGTGAGGTATGTTTAGTAATTTTCAGCCTTCATTTGGTCAGTGCGAATCTTCGTCTAGTTGATTATTTGCTCTACTGCAGTCAGTCCCAGTGTGTATTCGCATGATACGTCACCTTTTACAAAACTGATGAACTTCATAATTCCACCTATGCTTTGTTGCCTTCCCTAGCTGTGTCAGCAGATACCGAAATACGAAGAATCTTTTCTGATTCAGCCGATTGTGATTGTACGAAGTGGAGGCCGGCGATTGACATTAGCGTATCTCAACGAAAGACAAGAGAAACAAACTTTGAAGCTATCTGAAGTGATGTGCACTTTATCAACTGCGATTGACGCGTACTTCCCATTTTGACTCTTTCGAGTACTTGGTTCACCTAATCTGTGCCATTTTTGGCCCAATCATGTGTGCACTGGTCAGATTTCATCAGAAGGGTTGTCTCTCAATTAACCGAAAAACACAATATTTAGCCTTACGATTGTGAAACGTCAGATCGGCAGATGTCACGGCACTAGTTACGCTCTCAGCCTACTCATAACGGGTGACTGCCGCGCATGAGCATAGTTCGGCATATTGTCTATGACACAGGAAGAGCGAGTGATATACCACCCAGCAGCATTTTACGGACCAGATACCCCCATGGCTGCGCCATATGTCCCGCATGACAATACACCGATTTCTGCCGCATGCGCGCGACCAAAGGGAAGGCCAATGGATGACTTGGTCAACAGGAATGAAGTTAGGCAGGAGTTGGAGCCTCTCAACTCCCTACTTGGGATTCGACAGACGATGAACACGTATGGTTAGGTACACTTGCTGACATAGCGAAGAACCGATCGTAATGTGTTTGTGTTGGGAGCTTCTCTGTCCGTCCCCCTTCAACTATGATCTGTACGTTAATGTATAATAGAAAACAGAGCATTATAATTGTTTGGTTTTGTTGTTTCTTTCCTTTCCAATAATACTTCGCTTTCATTCAAAAGAACTGTATGGTGGCACAGTGGGTTGGGTGTTTTACACCCGTGGCTAAGGTGTAAATTGATGATGAGAGTAGGCGGCATAAAATGACCCGATGAAGCTGCCTAAACGTAAGAAAAAAGTACGAAAGGAACACTTAGTGATTTCACGGTACCATCTGTTGTAGTATTTTGGTAAAGAACCGTGTTTCGCACAACCACTCCGGTATTTCTTGCCGAAAGGATTGCGCAGATCCGGAGCATATGGTGCTGTCAATTGCTGTGATGTTTATGAGAAGAAATTTTTGTGGCTTCGTTTGTAAACACCTTAACCGCATACACAAAATATCCACCAATTGAGACGTGTCGCGCGAACGTGACGAGATATAGAAGTATTAATTAGAAATACATTGGTGAACGTGTACAGAAGGCAAAACTATGTTGGTATGTATTGTTCTTTGGGGTGATACCATTATGTAAAGGAACGGTTAAAATGCTGAAGCAAGATGCACACATGGGAACATAAACCCACAACGAAAGGCTATAAAGGCGTTGCAGAACGGAAGGATGAGAATAATAAAACGAACAACTGCGGAACACATTTGAAACTGATCTGCAGAGGAAAAGAACGCTTACAGTAACATTTCCGCAAGGAGAAACTGCACCGCCGTGCAAGAACGCAGGAAATCGAGACATGCATTCTACGATTAGGCACCGCGAGTAGGTCAAAAAATAAAGTTAATGGACACCGGTGAACATCACCGAAAAATAACAATTACCTGAGGTATGTCGACCACCAATTTCAATTGGTGAGAAGTTTCGAGTTCACTCAAATGATCTGAGATGTAAGAGAAAATAAAAATTATTACTGCCTGACAGAGGTGTTAGATCGAGTGAACGAACGAGTCCAAAACGAAACATTTTACCTTAAAAGAGAAGCTACTGGCAGCTATACAATGCGATGACGATGGTGTAAAAGATGGAAACTGGCTACTATGGACTCCATAAATCCGTCGAGCCGAAATAGGGCCCAGAGTTAGGTCGAAGCAGTTCATTGTTACACGCCACCTGGGAGGTAGGTGAAGCCAAGGTGGCTTCAGAAGCGGTCTCGTAAATGTCCACGGAAGACGATGCGGGAGGAGTAAAACGCATATGCGTCGAGCTTCCATTCCGGACGGATCTATCCACTAGCACATTTCGCGTCTCGGAAGGTTTGTCCATCAGACAGGATTCAAAGGAGGCAAAAGCTGGCCTACGGACCAGACCGATGGTGTATTCACTGTGGAAATTTACGTTGGCCTGATTTTCCCCGAAGTGAACTCGACGATTGCGACTGAGGCCTCGGACAGAATCGGCTGAACGACACTCTAGTCTCATGGCTAGCCCATGAACACTAATTTGGTCTCGAGTGAACCGAGGTGAAGAGTGAGGTGAGAATAATTGGTTTATTTCTGGGGTCGCTGTGGGTGTTGCATGATCTACAAGTCGCATGTGGGATCCATTTGGTTTCAGATCGGCATCCATTTCGCCTAACTGTTTGACGGGAGTTCTCGAGTGATTGAAAGAAGACACAAATGTGACCGACTGGGTGGTAGTCGTACGCGACCAATTGGACGAGGATGCTGGCAAAGTGCTCAAATAGCTTGATGCATGTGCGACATCATCTGTCACAAGTTCCAGCGCAATCGGGGTGGTGGCAGCACTCAAATTAAGCTCAGCCTCGTTAAAGTGTATGCGTCCATGAGTAGGTGGCCAATCAATAGGTGATTTCCAAGTACAGGAATGAGCGCACTCGTCCTCTGTTTCCAGAATCACGGAAGGAATACGAGTGCGCACATTTGGTGGCGATGAATGAACGATGGAAGAGCTAGCGCACTTGAATGTGTCGGGCTGCGATTTGTCCCCCGAGGCATTCGAGATACCGCAGCCGAAAAACCCATCCGAACTACATTGCTGTAGAGGAGTTTCTTCAGCCACATCGGTTAGATAAACGTCACATCCCAACAAACTTTCCACTGCATCACCAGCATACCTCCGTCTGCTCAATCGACCCAGTTGAATAGAATGATCTAAGTTCGGTTCGTCCACACTGCTTTCTTCCTCGTGTTCCTCCAAACCAATGGGGTAGGCGGTGGACATCCGGTGTTGGTAGAACGCATCCACCTTTTCCACGACCACATCCCTGCAATCTAAGCTGGATTCGATCACAACTCGGTTCGTCCTGGGACGTTCTTGTATTGAGGCCATGTGACTGCAGTCAGATTCCATTTCCGTTGACGCACTCTCATCTTCGAAAACGGAAGGCTGTTGGAATCCAACTACTTCATTCTCGTCCTCCACCCCTGCTTCCACTTCCCCGTAATCGTCCTCCAAGCCACCAACATGCCCGTTATCTTCGTATACCTCTTGTACATCCTCATCCTGATCCATGATATCGGACTTCGAGTGCTCCACCTCTGGGGATTGTATAGCCCCGCTGTAACTCTGGCCTCCCTCAGCAGACGAGTCGTTCGTAACGGAAAGCTGATGGCTCTCATCCGCATCCTCGACTTGTTCTAAGCCGTAACGCAAACCATGGTTTGGCGCATCTGCATCCACCTTGGCTAGTTCGCAATGCAGCTCCGTCAAGGAGGAATCAAAGCACTCCCAATGAGTGGTTTTGGTCAGTCGACGGCTAATATTGGTGCCAAAACAAGCGCGGGAAAAGGTAACGCTGGGTGCTGAGCCACCGCATGACTGTTCCGAGACTGTCCAAACACCAGTCTGAGGCGAATCGCGAGTTGTGACAGATTTTCTATTCGTAGTGTCTGTAAAGGTAGAATGATCATCGAATTCGAGGTTGGAACGCAACACTGGATAAGAGATGACAGAACTAATGTCGACGGAAATAATAACGGCTGGCCCTAAGAACGGATAGCACAGTGATTTAGAAAGAGCTGCTACTTGTTAAAACAAAAGTTGCTCGCAGGAACTGGCAGCACTGACCGGAAGTCAAGAGACCCCGAGGTTACATTTCAATGTGAACGAAGCGAGTCACGAAATTTAGTGCTGAGAGAAGGCCACAATAAAGGAACTACACTTCGGGTACGCTCCAGTAGATGATCGTCGAGAAATGTATCTAAGTGGGTAGAGGTTACAAGTATGGTGACATATCGCAGCTTTAAAAAAACACGAGCATTCCACTGACCAATCAGGAGTGTCAAACAATCGGGGTATTAGCAGAAACCCAGGGACTAAGACCAAAGGTGGGCGCACCACATCCACATATGAACGCTTACCAACTGCGTCGGCATCCCCGTCTTGAAGACTTCGGTTTATCGAATTCATAGCACGCATTCGCTGTGCAACCAAACATCTGGAAAGGATGAAAGAATGACTGGTTTTAAAACCAACAACAGGGAGGCAACAGGAGGAGAAAAAAGTGATTTGGTTCAAGCTGTTTTCAATGGCCAATCGGGTTTAGAAGAGGACTTGAGTCTCATGTAGGGTTCTGGGATGCAAATGGTGTACAAAGGAAGAGATCAATCATCACTTAAAGATATTGACTAGCATTCCGAGGTCGTAGAACAACCCAGGGCTATCATCCCAACGGAGTTTTTTTTTCTAATGATTGCCAACATTGTACTTAAAGCGGTGATGGACCGGAGAAAACTGTTGTTCGGACATGCAGTACCGTTGTAGATCAATTCAGCAGTCGTGATCAGGGCCCCGAAGTGCATGCGGTGCATGCGGATATCTCGACGCAATTGGTCAAACTAACAGAATAACAATAGTAGCACAAACAAAACCCCACAAGGAGCAGACAATAAGTAAAAATAGCAAATGGAATAAGTAAGAATCGAAGATGGTAAAACGAACGCAACAGTGTACTTAACTTCGTGACAACGCTATAGCAGAAAATGCATTCATACACTGAGGTTCACGGTAACGACGACCACATATAGCCAGACGGCGTGCAGCAGCTCGACTCAGCTTTTCGACAAGGGCCTTAGCTATTTATCCACATCACGGCTTCGAGATTAAAGCAAATTAGGTATAGCATAAATCAAACTTGCAGGCCGAGGAGACCGGATTACAGATAGGCGCTGCAATAAACAGATGCAAGCAGCTGTTTGTATGTATGGCGACGTTCAAGCGCCTATCGAAGAGCAAAAATGCGACCAAGATATCCCTAAACTAGAGTTTCTCAACTATTGTGCCGCAAGCGATAATCAGATGCGCCACAACGGTTTCTGACGAATAATTACAATTGTACGGGCTATTTAGGTTTGAAATCTCTGTAATGATCCCAAGGATTGGTAATAAATCATTTTAGGTTCGCGCGTTGTTATTTGATATTATTTTTTACAACTGTAATGAACGTTAATTCAATTTGGCTATTTCCAAGAAGCCAAACACACGTGAAATAAGTAGGCCTTCACATCACTGCTGTGAATTAATTAAAAATGCTTTATACCATTGGTAAAAATGAACAAGCATTTGGTAAAAGGTGATGTCTGCTCACAAACACTAGACCACAAAGAAACAAACAAAAGTATCAAGATGACTACATGGAATTCAGATTAGTGGCAATGGGAGCCGTCATGTGTATTCCTCAAAAAAACACTAGCAAATGAAGCTCTCGCTCCTATTAAACTGGAATGACGTTTAGAAACTACATACACACAGAGGTCAAAAACAAACCAAGAAAGTATTCTGAAAACTTAGCAGCGCAGAAAAATAAATAGCAAACTTTGTAAAACTGTATGAAAGTGCCAGAAAAGGGACGGATTGGCAGATACAGTTGTCCGATAAACAGCAAAACGCGTAACGAAACACAGCGATGCAGAGTCAATCACTGAAGCAGTCTTAGCTACCAGTGCGGAAAAAATATTGAAAGAGGAAGCGACAGAGATGAAGAAAGCACCATTAACTAACGATACAATCATCATAATACACGTTAGCTGCAGATGGAAAACATCTCATCTATTGTGCCGCAATATTAAAGAAAAGAGAAAAAGAACATGACACAGAAGTACGCCGGTTGAGTCACCAGTAACGGAAGGATATCGTTCCGGAGAGTCAACCGCCGGTTATTATGTCGCAGAAAACGTTATATTATGCCTAAAAATGAGATCGTGGTTGGAAGGGGACGCTAAGTCGGAGGGACAAATAAACTAAACACAAACACCATTGAGGTCGGGTCCTAACTATGTCAACAAATATATCCAGCCAAACGTGCTCATCGTCTTTTGGTCCACATCCAGGGAGTCGTGAGGCACCAAGTAAGAGCCTTCATTTCTCTTGATCAAGTCATCGCTTGGCCACTCCACCTCTTCTTCCATCCGCACCACCGGCGCGCAAACAATGCACGTCGCGGGCACCCGCAACACGTGGCCCAGCCACCGGAGCCTGGTGCGTGAAATAACGGTGCTGAGCGGTTCGTTTATTCTTCCTGCACCATAAACTAGGAGTCGAACACACTCATTGCTCACACGGTGTTCCCACCAGATATGGGTCGAACTGCGAAGGCACCAGTGGCCGAACCTAAGTGGCATCCTTAAGTCTGCTGATCTAATGGGCCAGGCTTCGCAACCGTACAGTAAGGCCGGATGTAACGCTGCATTGTACACTCTATCCTTCATGGAGAGAGTGATGTCGCGCCGGCGCCATAGGTGGCGAAGGTTAGCGTAAGCGGCTCGGACTTTTGCTATACGGTTTCTGACCTCGTCACCAATTCCAACGGCGATGATACGATTATCCAGGTAGTTGAACTTCTGGACGACTTCTAGCCGATCCCCACCAAGGGTCAGCGCAGGAAGTGGTCCCTGTCAATTTTGCAGGAAAGCATCGCACTTGCAGGGTGCAAAGCACGGCCCGAAACAAGTGACAGCCAGTGTTAACCTGTCCAGTGCTTGTGAGCTGTCACGAATGAGGGTAATATCCTCCGCATACTCCAAGTCAAGAAGTCGTTCACCTGGGAGCAATTCCAAACCTCCTAAGTCGTGTCCTATGAACGCGATTTCCATGACTTCGTCAATAGCGAAGTAGAGGAGGAAAGGTGACAGCGGGCATCATGGTCTTACACCGCTGGAGATACTGAAGGGCGGCGACAGCTTGTCGTAAGCACTCACTCCACCCGAGTTACGTGCGTAAAGTGCTAGCATAATATTTACATACTTCCTGGACACACCTTTCCTTAGCAGACAGTCCCAAAGGCCACATAGATCCACCTAATCGAAGGTACCTTTTATGACGAGAAACACGACTACAGTGGGTCCCCAAGATATGTGATGATGCTGCAACAACTGACGCGAAGTGAAGATGTGGTAGATGCACCTTGACTTCAACAAAACCCGGTTTACTCTTCACGAATCTAACTTTAACGACCGCCAGTCAGTCTGTGAACGATTACAGAGGCAAGTAATCTGGAGGCGATGTGAATCAGACTGATTCCTCTATGGTTGCCGCATTCCGAACGCGAGTCTCCTTTGAAGATCGGGACAATAACGGAGCGGCTCCAGTCGGTTGGGACAGAACGTCATCGAGGAGTGACATCAAATTCCCATGCCTGTTCAGGTGATTTAGTAAGCGACAGTGTTGCGGCAGGCCAGATAAACTGCGCTTCAGAATGTTCCACACAACGGGCTAGTCGACGCGACTGAGAATGGATCAACTGTGCATGCTTCCCAGCTATTGTTACACTAACTAAAGGTTTTCATGAACCCGAGTCTGTATGAGCTAGAACAACACTAGGCAATTCTCAGGCCTTCTCCACCTCATGGTCCCTTGTCACGCGTCAGTGAGTCATCTTTTCGGGGTGCTACGGACATGTTAGAACTCTATATCTAACGAAACCAGTTTGGGTGTTTCGATCAAATAAATCAATGCTTTAGGCCTCCATTCAAAGTTCAGACGTCTCATGTTAGGCGTACAGTAGCTATCAAAGGCATTTCTCATGGTATACTTGAGACGATTTCAGTCGGCGCTCTGTGCACCAACATCAACCATCGCTGACAATTACCGGACCAGTTCGTCAAGATGTTGAACTGTAGTCTGCGAGTTCAAGTTACAAGTAAATAATAAATAATGTGTCAGCTGTGCGCCGTAACGGCGCTTCGCTGCCGCGCGACCACCACCAGTCGCGCGCGGGCTGAGTATACCAAGAGGACACCCACCCCTATGCGGATTCGAACCGGTGACCTTATGGTTGCAAACCAAACGTGCAGACCACTCGGTCACCAGCCGACAGAGGTTTAGAAGGTAGGCGCTTGGTTGAAGCGGGAAGAGTGAGTGCCAGACATGCGCATACTAGAGCATGGTCGGAATGCCGGCACGTGCTCCTAGTTGACTGACAGTTTTGGACTGGTATGCGCCCTCTATAGCTGATAGTAATATGGCCAATTTGGGTCCACGTCATGGAGGAATTTGGTGGGGGCCAGATGAAACGATGTGAAAAGCAGTGCTGCTAGTATAGATATTGTGGTTTGCACACACATTCGAACATGCTTTATTGCCCACCATCGGGATATCTCAAAAGTGGGGTGAACAATTAACGGATATTGCTATCTTTCTCAAAAGGGAAACAACCATTGAATAATTGTACAGTATATCATTTAAATTGTAACGGGTTAAGAAAGATAAAATACGTACTTTTAACTGAAGCCTACAAACGACGTTTATTTAGAAGAGCATGACCTATAATTTAAAAGTTATAACCTAAAGCATCCTATCTGGATAGCTATGGAAACTGGCATTATTGTACATTTTTGTTGAGACAACAATCCAGCGTCAGTTATACATTATTTCGTGCAGATCCCCCGGTAACTTTTGCTATGATGAAGTCCATTTGGGATAAGAAATCGTTGCATTGCCCATGCAAAAGTCCGTAGCTACACAGATCATTCAGTTATTTGCTCTTGAATGTTACACGCGCTGATTGCTGTTACCCACGGAGTCATCTGGCACATCATCCTCTGAGTCGCTCGCAAGAAATAAGCGAGCATCTTCACACAAATGAAGTAACCGCTCATCGTTATCATTACGGGAGCCTATAACATGTTGGCCGCCAGATGCACTTCATCAGTGGGCAACTTTCTAACTTGAGCGTTCAGATCCACAGCCAACACTACAGTGTCCGAGCTTCTTCTGTGGCTAAGCTCGTTCAGTTGACGATAGAAGTCGTCTTTTACCGAGTCATCGCTACAGTTGGTCGGTTCATAGGCAGCGATAACGAATAGACACCTGTAAGTCCCAAGCGACTTCGAAGCTTTGAACGAGCCAGCCAATCGGACCGCACACATCCGGCTACTGATTGGGATCCAATCAACCAGAGCAGCTTCAGCCCAGGGACTCAGGGCGATACCAACACCGGCTTGGTCGGTACTCGAAGCTGCCTCGTCACCAGATAGGCGCAATGGGAAAGTGCTGCCAGTGTCACCTAAAGGGGATCGCAGAGTGAGCACAGAGCTCGAGTTTTGCAGACGGGTCTCCGATAAGCAGCAGATATCGATCGAGAGGGTCTCTAATGTTCGGGTAAGTGCCGCCTGTTGACTGATCTGAAGCAATGTGCGAACATTGAGGCATGCCGATCTGAAGGAGGATCGAGGGCTCCAAATGGAAGCCGATGAACTGGAATGGGCCACTTGCTTAGACATGGGCCCGTTGACAGGGCAGGAATGACGCTCTGCGTTCACGTGTGAGTTGAAGCTAGAAGACAAGCGACTATGGAAGCGAGGTGGAGGAGGGCCAAGAATTGGGGGGGTTGAAAAGAGAGGGATAAAATTGAAGCTGGAGTGGAATGATAAGGGTGAAAACGCGTAAGAGGGAGAATAAGAAGACGGAAAGGCCTGAGCAGTAGCATCCCAACTCCTATCCACCCTGCTCGATGCAGTAGATAGGGCGTCCTTTATTATCCTCTGCGGTATCTGGAGCATCAAGTAATTGTTTAAGGAAAGATTCATAGGATTGCGTGGGTAGGATACTGTCAGGTTGCCCAGGCCTAGACAGAAGAACGATTAGGGTTCTCAACCAAAGCCTATGGTTCAAAAACCTGACCGCAAGGCAGCGGGTTTGGTGTTGGGCCACAAGGAGTCCGTTTTAAGGAATAAGGAGCCACCCTCATTCCAACCCCCAACCTGGAAGACCAGGAGTCAGAGTTTGTCTGGCCTCTAACCATTGACCAATCTGGTATGAGTGGCTCCGAAGGTGCAAAAAAGCACCGCCCAGCATAGCTCAATGGATCACTGAGGCACACAAACCATCGCACCACGGTAAGGTCCAGCCTCATTGCGAATACAATCCATCAGATGAACAATGGTGGTATCGCAAACGGTTTACATCGCGAAAAGCTTCAGCGCTTGCTAGGTAGATTATGTGGCAAATTTCGACCGAAACAATCAGATCATACTAATGATAGCAGTAAGAAGCAGACTTCTGAACATGCAAGAAGCGGTGTCGACGTTCACACGATACGACCTATGGGACGTAGAAATAAGCGAATTCGAGGTGATGGCGAAGTTGAAAACAGGGGTTATTTACTTGTAACAGGGGATCGAGCCCTCAACGTGAAGATAGACGAAGTGACCATTCTTGCCACCGATACGAGCGCCACGCTTGTGTCGATATTCACAACAAACACTTATGCGGGCGTCTTGGGCACCATCAATGCAAAGAGAAAGAGAGAACGGGTGGCCGTACGCACGCCGGGAAGTGAACTCGAAGATATCTGTTTAGTGCGAAAGGATGAATAAAAATAAATGTTAAAGTATCCAAAACATCAGATTTTAGATTTATTAAGCTACGAACTAAGTAGAGGAACTTAAATAATATGCGAAGAGAATTCCAGTCTATTGTCGAATTTGGGCCTAGAAGTACTGAGGTCTCATGGAAGAGCGCGATGACCAGAGAACAAAACGATCTATTAGTAGTACTCCAGTGGTTTATGAAGCATAGCGCTAGGATTATAACTAACCCGACCCGAGTACAAAACTCATGGTACGGAGAACGCGAAGCGAGACGGCGCTACGGAACTGTACACCAGAAAGTGATGCAACAGCATACGCTGAGGCAAATGCACAATTTGACTACAAGCGGGCAGGCACAGATTCGGAGTGTTTCAACAAGCGCATGTAAAAGAGTTGGGTTTATTCGGGCGACAGAACCTTGTTCTTTTCATCTGGCTCACAATATTTACAGCGCTTGCAAAAGCTTTCATTTAATAGATAATATATTTAACAGATAATCGATCATAGTGTGATTTGGGTATTTAACTTCTTCCTCTGAGTATATGTCCAATGTTCAGTTTGCCGATACCGGACCAGATTGATGGAAGTCTGTGGAAACGCATTAAACTCGGGACCACTCCAACAGATTAATGGAAAGAGGTAGTCGTACCACAGATGATGTAACCAGGTGTTGGAAAGCTTTCCCAGTTCTACACAAATTACTGCTAGTTAAGGAAAATGGTGAGCGTTGGGACCCAATGAATGAGCCCCATCCCCAAGTGCAACAGATATAAGCAAACAAGCCAGCGCATTCACATCGAACAAGCCTTGAAAACGCTGTCTATTCAAACATCTCGGCCATAGCATCTGCCGTTTCTGCAACATACAAAGCAAGCCAGACTGTTGGTCGATCGCAAACTGAGATTCGGCCAACTAAATCAGAACGATGAACAATGCGGTCAGCTTCCGTGATCCTCTGATGTTTCGCCAATGTGCCGCTGAGCAACCTCAGTAGCAGAAACTAAAGATGTAGTTCAAACAGATTATGATAGGCTACGAGTCCGGTTGGCTGCATTACGCAGGGACAAGCCGAATAGTTGCCAAACAACTCGAGCACAAAAAGCACCAGTCCAAAAAGTGAAAAATGTTATGAGCAAGTCCAGTGGTTTATCACACATGACAAGAGAAGCGATAGTAGATAGCGATTAAAACCGATGCTCAGAGAAGTGGAATGTCATCAACAGGCGCAACAGTGTGGTGATACAGGTTAACAGAAAGAGTCGGAAGTCAGAGCACAGTTTGAATGGAGTAGCATCAGTGGCCGCCAAACCAAAGTGAGGACTTTCTATCGGGCTAAAACTATGCGCTCAACAGGAGACTAGGAGAGTATAAAATGCACATATGGTGGCGAGATTCATGCTAGTATGAACAACAATGCTCTGTGGACCACGGAGGTGCAATCAGTTGCAGACAGTGTACTCGCAGTGGAGGGTGCGGGGTGTGAAAACTAGCCTGTTAGATGCTAACAGTCAGTTGAAGAGGGAAAGACTGAAGGAGTTGAATGCTGCTCCGATCAAGAAGGCTGGGAACAGACCGCAAGTTCATTTCCGAAAAGAAGGGCTATGCGATGTCATGATAGTTAATAATGGGTGATTGCAAGCGCCACGAACGAGTTGCTTAGCAAAGGATTACTTTACATACAAGATCAACTCACTCACCATTTTAGAAAATAAAGTAAAAGCTCGTAAGGACATGAAACAACAACATCACCTATTTCATTTGAGTATACAGCGTCCACGGGATCACACGGCAGTAACATCTGTGAAAAAGTGATGTATTTCAACAGTATGGTTCAAGTTACCGGCTGAGAATAACACAGAGATGAAGCAACATTGAGTATGGTAAGTCAACCGTTCCCGTAACAACACAGTGCGTCGACTTGTTCCCTAAGTAGCTTAGCGTCCATGGATGTTTGGGACCCAAAGATCGCTCCATGTGATTTCAGAAGGTTTTGAATACAGATCGGTTTTTGTAAATTTTTATTACGGCAACGTTTCGCTCTTGACGCAACAGTTTCTTCCGGTCATGTGCGCCATGTGCTGTTCAAATGCTGAGGACATCCATAGTGCACTGTGCCACGTAGCCAACTAGAGTCAAAGCAAAATCTAAATGGTGACCAAAAGCTCTTATTCATGAACAGCAGGATCATCTGTATCGTAGATACGCTGGAAATGCGAATCCGCTGTGGTATTTTTCATCGGCTAATTCGCACGCCGTCTGTTTAAACGCAACGGTCCGCATGCGCTGTTCGTTCGCTGTGTCCTGTCTGTGGTCATACAGAGCTGTGTTCGTGGTAGGATGAGATAAATCCGCAATCTCCATCCGACCAATGTGATTCCAGCTGGTTTGCGTAGTTGGCACCTTAACTGTTTCCTGTTCCACGGGTCCCGAGTTCATTACGTTCTTGCAGTCGACCAAACACCATGGCACCATGTGTCGTTGGCGCGTGCGTACCAGCATGATATTATACCGCTGTTATCCGGACCAATTCGACACCCTTTGGGTGCAACCACGCTGCGTCCTGCTCATGCTAGGGCTCAACCAATTCCGTCTCGTCCACCTAGCCCGTTTTGATTAACTCGGGTGTGTGTGGCGCATGACTGGTCTTCTGATCACTGGACCTGGGTCAACATAGTTATCCCAAACAACCAGCTAGCACCCACGATGTGCGACATGGTGTAGCAGAATGCGAGCGACCTCATGCTGGGAAACGATAAACGCCAGTTAGCGTAGGCACTTACCAATCTGATCCGCGCACCGATGCTCGTCAAGCTGGCTGGCTTAAGAAAGACGATTTAGAGGCAGACAAGTAGTACAGTCTATACGTAAAATCGACTTTACCTCCGAGGGTTTATGGCTTGCCAAAAGTTCACAAACCCGAAGTTCCCGTACTGCCCATAGTCGACGGTATAGGCTCCCCGACCCATGAACTTGCGAGATATCTGGCAAGGCTATTGCAGCCTCTAAAAGGGCGAACGAGTACATTCGTGAAAAACTTATGATTTCGCTCAAAAGATAGCAAGTCTCAAAATTGAGTCAGATGAATTGATGGTCAGCTTCGATGTCACATCACTTTTCAAGAATGTACCCAAAGAAGAGGCGCTAGGAATAGCGAGACTTCGTCTAAATGAAGACGTCACTCTGAATGATCGGACGAAACTAACAGTTAGCCAGATAATCGAGGGAATGACAGTGTGTCTTAACATGTCTTACTTCGTCTTTCAGTCGAAGCTTTACAGTCAGGAACAAGGTCTCGCAATGGGATCGCCAATATCCCCTGTGCTGGCGAACCTGTATATGGAAGACTTCGAGAACAGAGCGTTAACAAACACCATTAACTCACCAAAAGTTTGGTGGCGTTATGTAGACGACACCCTTGTACTTGTTAAACTGGATAAGAAGGACGAGTTGCTTGATCACTTAAACTCCATTGATGAGAGAATACAGTTTACTATTGAGTTGGAATCTTGTAGCGCCATAATATCATTTCTTGACTGTTTGGTTCACAGGAATGGTGGAAATTTAAAGACGACAATATATCGTAAGCCAACGGATACTGACGGCGTACTCCACTACACCTCGGGTCACCGAAACAGGTTTACGCTGGGATAGCCTCAGCGCTGTTCTACAGGGAACAAACCTTGTCACGATGGAGGAGGACAAAAAGGCTGCGCGGAAAGTGGCAATGAGCAAACTAATAGAAAGTGGTTACCCACGGTTGCTAGCCAAACGCCAATTGCATAAAGAGCTACACCGGAAGTCAAGACCCCCAGCTGAGTGGATAGGGACGGTCGGAATTCCCTACAAGAAAGGCACTTCGGAGGGTACTAAACAAACAAAATATAAGGGTGATCTTTCAGCGAGGTTGAATGTTGCGTTCGGCGTTGGTACACTTGAAGGACCCATTTCCCAAGGATAAGACGACTAACTGTGTTTATAAAATTAAATGTAAGGACTGTGCACATGTGTACATAGGCCAAACAGCGAGAGAATTACGCACACAAATTTCGGAGCATAGGAGGCGCCTTTCAAGACTACCAAGAAACCCGTTTGAATACCAGGCAATAGTAAGAGACTCGGCCGTAGGTGTGCATGCATTAGACACGGGTCACCAGATAGACCTCGAAAACGTAGAGGTCATTAGGTGGGGGATACGATCAACCCCTCAGCGGTTGATGGCCGAGGCGGTGGAAATTGCCAAATCTGACGACTGAGTGGATAGAATGGAGGGGTAGAACTCCCGAATGCGTGGCGGGCAATCTTAAGCCAGCCAGCTTGACGAGCATCGGTGTGTGGATTAGATTGGAAAGTGCAAACCGACTCCCATTGCCAACACTATGGGCTTATCCGTCATTGTCATGACGCACAAAGGAACCCCTGGACTATTCTCACTGTGATCAAACCACCTGAGATGACATCAAGAACTGTTATTGTAATGACATCATGGCTCAAGTCTCGGGGAACGTAGTTATCGCTCCTGTTCACTATAAAACCCCACACCAATTGCGCACTGATTCACCTGGTCTGACGAAGCTCTTGTGTTGAGGGCGAAACGTTACCAAACTACTATACCAACCGATTGTTTCCAAACCTCTCTGAACTCATGACTACTCGATCGGTTCCAAGTATCTTCCAAAATTTTGAGCCCAGTTAGCGTAGTTTCAACTGCTGTGGTCTATGGTCAGATCAGTGGCATCGCGGTTGGGTTTGACAAACAGTTTGCCGGAATCAAAACACCTACGAGTGATGGATCAGCAATGTTGATAGCAAGCTGAGTAGATGGACAAACTCAATGTCGAAAACCAAAGCACTGGTTACGGTGGTTCACTCACCTAAGGCAAGGACAAAAGGCCTTAATATGTGTTGTAGCCAAACTTCGCGATGGCGACCGAAAGAAGCGAAGCACGTGTCGGCGGAGGCGAAAGTTCTTATAACAAAGCTG